CCCTCAGCTCTTCAGCTCAAGGCTAGCGCTCTACCACTTGAGCCACAGCGCCACTTCCGGCTTTTTTCTTTTTGCTTATGTGGTGCTGAGGAATTGAACCCAGGGCCTCATGCATGCAAGGCAAGCGCTCTACCACTGAGCCACCTTCCCAGCCCCAAATTAAAGTCTTAACAGCACCAAATATTGGCAAGAATGTGAAGGAGCTACATTTAAAAAACTAACGCTTCTAAAGTTGAATATGCATCTGCCCAAATAGGCAGCAGTTCTCCTAAATAAAAATTAAAATGTATGTTTATAATATGTATGTCAAAGTACAAAAATTTGAACATAATACATTAATATGTGTGTTGCATCTGTGTTTTAAGTAAATAGGTATGTATGAAGACACAACATACATTCATCTTCAGGTATATTGACAGTGATAAATGGGTTGTTAAATCTGGTAAGAGCAAGGAGCTCCTGCTCATTGTATTTTTCATCATTAATAGAATGCTATATAGAACATAAATAATAAACTGGAAGAACACACTGGAGATCACAGAAATCTGAAACTCACAGGGTGTTACGTTCTGAGCAGAGGTCCAAAAATGAGGATAAGATTTTGAATGTGCACTTAAAGATAATCAAAAGCTTTTGTTCTCAAACTAAACTGGCTATAACACAATGAACTAGAAAGTTCTGGTAGAATACCTAAGGTTTTATTATTGTTCAGTCAGTGGGGCATGATTGTTTGTAATTAAAATTCTCTAAGTGACTGGGTAAGCTTCCATTCATTGTGTCTGGGTGAGGTCATTATAAGTATGTTTAAGTTCATTTATTTCCTCATTTGTTCCCAAAGCACTGTCCACCTATTATGATATTTTTAACAATCTTAGACTTGACCTTAGGAATGCCACTTAGATTTACTCTTAGGATCATAGATAAATGATTTTGCCTTCATTGAGAAATCTGGAAGGTCTCCTAGTCTTTACCGGACATATAACTAGTTTTTCCTTTGGATTAACTATTGTGTTCTTTTTTCTACAGATTTCAGAACTTATATTCCCACCTCTTCCGGTGTGGCAGCCTTTGCCCAGAAAAAAGCCAGGAATGTATCGAGGGCATAGCCATCAGAATCACTATCCTCCTCCTGTTCCATTTGGTTATCCAAATCCAGGAAGGAAGAATAAATCGTATCGCCCAGTTCCAGTGACATGGGTTCCTCCTCCTGGAATGCATTGTGACCGAAATCACTGGATTAATCCTCATATGTTAGCACCTCACTAGCTTCTTTTGATTCTGAGGGTGTAATGTTGAGTAAAAGATAGACTATATCTTATAACACATTACATGTTAAGAGTTCATACTCCTAGTAGTGAAGTTAGATGGACCAAACCATCAAACTTATTTTTCTAGAAAAGTTATTGAATATTCTTTCTTAAAAAGTATATATGCACTTTAGATAAATTGATATAGTTTGAGAAACTTTATTAGTCAAGTGCCTGAATTTTTAATATTGGACTTGAGTATTTATATATTGTGCATCAACTCTGTTGGATACGAAAACACTGTAGAAGTGGACGATCTGTTCTAGCACCTTTGAGCATTTACTTTATGGGAGACTACATAAGTTATTTATACACAGCAAATCTATTTTATGTCATTGTTTTAGAAGAATTGTGTGAAATCATGTAGTTGAAATAAAAAGTAGTTTGAGGCATGGCAATGTGTGCTTTTTTCTTTATGGAAAAAAAGAAAACAGGTTTATCTAATGTATTTATTTAGTAAAGAAAAAAAGAATTTCAGTATTTCCTTCAAAAAGTCAACTTTTTATTAAATCCCCAAAGATTATATACCAAAGTAGACATAAAAAAGTCCAAAATTTTAAAAAAAAGTCCAAAATTTTTAATCATAATAGTTGATTAAAAATATAAATATATATAATTTCTTTTAACTATCCAAGCCATTATACAGACTTTTTCTCAATGGAAATTTAGTCCATTGTAATTTGATCTGCCATCTGATTTACATGCCTTAATACTATGAATAAAACGTTCTTGCAGCTGTTCTATAATCTGTTCCTTTTGCTTTTTTTTTTTTTCAAAAAATAAAAGTCTTCATACTAGAGTTTGGAAATAAAGTCAAATAGCACATTTCATATTCTTCAGTAGTCCTTCATGTTTATACCACTGTAGGTCCATCAGTCTTGTAAGTATACTTCAACTACAAAAGGAAAAAAAGAGACACATCTATAACATGGTAAGTGGTAACTTTTAGAATTTTTTTTGTTTAGGAGTTTTACTTTGGGGTTTTTTCTTTTTGGTTTGGGGTGGTTTTTATGGTGCTGATACTCTGGCTAAACTCGGGAACAGGGCATTGTCCCTTAGTTTTTTCCATCCATGGCTGGTGCTCTACCACTTGAGCCACAGCTCCATTTCTGGCTTGTTGATAATTAATTGGAGATAAGAGACTCATGGAATGTTCTATATGAGCTGGCTTAGAACTGTAATTCTCACATCTCAGCCTCCTGAGTAGTTAGGGTTGCGGGTCAGAGCCATGGACATTAGTAGCATATAAAAACTAAAGTCAGCTGTACTGTTCCCATCACCCTCATCTTTAAACTTTTTTTTCTCAATCATGGGGCTTGACCTCTGGGCCTGGGAACTGTCCCTCAGCTCCTCAGCTCAAGGCTAGAACTCTACCACTTGAGCCACAATGCCACTTCTGGTTTTCTGCTGGTTAATTGGAGATAAGAGTCTCACAGACTTTCCTGCCCAGGCTGGCTTTGAACTTTGATCCTCAGATCCCAGCCTCCTGAGTAACTAAGATCACAGGTGTGAGCCACCAGCACCCCAGCTTAATACAATGATTTTGACAAATCTATCATAGGGCATGGTGCTGCATGTCTATAATCTCACAACAAAGAGCCAAGGTGTGAGAATTTCTTGAGTTTAGAAGTTCAAACTTGGTTAACATATCAAGACCCCATCTCAGTTTTCATCCTAAAATGAGTTTATCTTGTAATGCAGATTTTCACCAGTAGAAAGTTTCCAGAGTAATAAAATTTCCAGAGTATTGTGTCTTAGAAATACATTAAAGTTGTACATGGCTTAAACTCGGTGACATAAACTAGGCAGGTCTACAGTTTACAAGTATTTCCAGCCAGTTGCTGGTAATTTGAAAGGTCACACAACTTGCTTTAATAGTAATAGCCAAGTTTTATCACAAACGTTTTTCTTTTTCTTTTTTTGTAATTTAATGGGGTTTACACAGACAATACTCGTGCCAAAAATCTTTCCATATATTCTGGGATTTAGGAGAAAGGCAATAATATCTTTGTATTATAGATCACACCTCAGCATTGACACATTGTACCAGAAAGTTGTACAAACCACAAGTTAAAAGGAGGGACTCATGCAATTCCTATGCAAAATATGTGTACCTTTTTCACTGCAGAAGTTATCACCTCCCCATCTAACTACATCAGCCCATCTTCCAAGTGTGTTTTCTTTTCACTTACAATTATAACCCTAGTACCAAAATGGAAGCACTAATCCTTATCCAAAGCTACTTGTAGTAGCTACAACACTCCTACTGGGTAGTTTGATGTTTATTCCATGGATACAGATAGCACAAAAGAAAGTATCCACTTAGTTTCTACCCCCAGTGAAGCTATAGAAAGGACTTACAATGGAAGACTTTTTGCTTAAATTTCATAGGACTTGAAAACTACCAACCCCAGTGGTACTCCCTAGACACTATGGTCAAAATGAACTGTACAACTTGTAGGTGAGATGGGAGGAAAAAAACAGCGAGTGAAGGGGTGACATTGTCCAAAAAGAAATGTACTCATTACCTGACCTACAGCAACTGGGAACAGCACGTTTGTAATTCCTTTAAAAATACCATCAGGTATAACTTGGCTGTAGTTTGGGTAAAACCATATAATTAGTGTGTGTGTACATATATATATATATATATATATATATATACACACACACATAGACATACATGTATATACACATATGAAGTTTATAAAATGATCCATAAGGAAGATGTGTGAAAAGCATTTTACAATTTAATGTATTTAATATAACATTTAATATATCATTTCACAATTTGGGTGCCATAATAAATTATCAACTTGAATAGTAATTAAATGCAAACTAAAATACATTTACTTTGGCAATCATAAGATTAATAATGTCCAGTTTAAATGTTACACACCATGTATATGTGTTGAAACATCACATGAAACCATCCCTATAAATAGGTATTTTGGTAAATAAAAATTTTAAAAAATTTAAAAAATGTATTTTAGGTTATAAATTGGTAAAAATCAGTAAACTAATTAAAAATAATTCCCATATTGTTGAGCCTCTATGGGGAAATAGTTCCTCTCTGTATATTAGTAAAGTTGTGTGGGTTTTTAAAGGGTAGTTAGAGCTTTTTAAAGTGTATGTTCTCACAGTTGCACTGCCAGCTTTTTGGTGATAATTAGAGGTAAGAGTCACACAGACTTTCCTACCTGAGCTTGCTTTGAACCTTGATCCTGAGATCTTAGTCTCCTAAGTAGGCAGGATTATAGGTATGAGCCACCAGCAAGAATCTTGTGAAGAAAATGTTCTTTTGTCTCTTGTAAACTTTATCACTTTATTAAATTATAACACAAATGAGTATCTGAATCAAAAGAGAACTTTAAATAAAATACATTTTTTAGAAACCAAAAAAAAATATGTTCTAGCCAGAGCTGGTGGCTCACGCCTGTAATCCTAGCTACTCAGGAGGCTGAGATCTGAGGATTGCGGTTCAAAGCCAGGCCTGGCAGGAAAGTTCGTAAGACTCTTATCTCCAATTAACTGCTGGAAAACCGGAAGTGGCACTGTGGCTCAAGTGGTAGAGCGCTAGCCTTGAGCTAAAGAGACAGCACCCAGGCCCAGAGTTCAAGCCCCATGACTGGAAAAAAAAAAAAAAAGTATGTTCTTTAACAAAAAAAAAACATTCTAGAAAAGTTCTCATGTGATTTCTCTTGTTATTTTTGTGACAACAAATGGATGGCAAAAATAAGTAATCAACAAAGTTAACATTTGAATATCTACTTAAGGAAATACTGTGGAAAATACCATTTACCTAAGAAGTACATTTGTAATGAAAGAAAGGAAAATAGCAAAAGTTGGGAAGTGAATGTTACATCTAAATGATATCCGTATTGTCTGAAAAAAGAAGTGCCAACTTTTTACCAGTAATGTTCTTAGAGGCAGGGAAAAGTTGACATGTGTGGGTGATCTTGCTTTTCTATTAGATTGTTATGGTAGCCATTATTTCCTAGCTGGGGTTAAAAATCAAACATTTTTATGAAACACTTAAGATGAATGGATTGATTAAATACAAATACAATATGTGATATGTTGATAATAGCCTATGGAAGTACTTTCACAAATATATATATTATTGATGCCCAAGAATGCTTTCTAAAAAACATTATTAGCAATAATGATATAACTCATTCATAATACATAAGATCGTGAAGCCAATAAAAGAATCGTGGGTCTACTATAGTTGAAATAATGTCAATGACAGTTATGTCAGGGGTGAAAATAAGTAGAAAGGAAAGGATAATAATAGAACTTAGTTTATTAGAGTGAGCTGATTTATGTAAAGGCTGGAAAGTATCGAATGCTCAGTAAGTTTTACTATGTTAATGAAGTTTGTTTGGGGCGAATATGAATATAAAAAATAACAGAATTCACCTAAATTTATGATATGTTACCATGAAAGTTTATATGTGCATGTACATATGAAGTATTTTATCTAGCAAAATTAAGTTGTGCCTTCTTTCTTAGGACAGGTGTATGTGTGTCTAATAATACTACTTTACATATTCAAGTAGGTCATCTCGGGTGTTCTAGCTACAGAACTTCAAACCCCGATACTGTGATTTCAGGATCACGTGCTTTTAAGAGCTAGTTCCAAAGTTGTGAAGATAATTAACATCATCATTAAACCATTAATAATAGTAAGCATTATTTTTTATTGTTTAGAAAACAATCATTTTGATAACCTTTAGACCAGATTTGTGAGAAAAAACAAATCACTTATAAAATTATTGGCCACAAGAGGGCATCAAATATTCTTCTCCAGTGTCAAAGCTAAAGGTTGGATTACAAATACACGTGTCCTTTCTCTGAAAAGTATTAGTGGTTACAGGGTAAAGGACCATTTTTCCTGTATGGTTGTGTATAGAAATTCCTATATATAAAAATGTATACACACACAGAGGCATAAAGAAAATATCATCCAAGCCCACTAAAATATAGTCACTGTTAATGTTTTAGAGGATGGAGAAGCTTATTTTTATACCCCCATACTGTTATTTTAAAAAAAGGTAGGGGGAGAGGGGCAGGCACTGGTGACTCATGCAATCTGAGGATCACAGTTTGAAACTAGAAAGTTCCTGTGAGACTCATCTCTTAATTAACCACCAGAAAGCCAGAAATGGAGCTGTGGCTCAAAGTGGTAAGCTCTATGAACAAAAGAGCTGAGGGACAGTACTTGGGCCCTGAGTTCAAGCTACACGACCAACAAGAACAAAACCAAAGTTATGGTTACAAGTAAAAATTATGGGATGTTTTATTACCTATTTTTTTCAAAAATGATCTTAATGTTATTCATAACTATATGTGCCTTAACTGATTTAGTCTTCAGTATTATATAATAAACTA